TACGTATGTATATCGTAATTATAATATCGTTAATATCTCTAAAATTATAATACCGCTTATAATATATTTATAAATGTTCTAAAAAATTATCATAACGAAAAGTTACCATTTTGATAATATTATTTTGCGACTTATATAAAATGTCAGAAAATAAATTTTATAATAATGTATATTAAATATACGTAAAAAGTTTCTTTTTGAACAATATTGTATTTTTGTTAATATTTTTTGTTTAAAATTTTTATATGTTTTCAATGTTTTTAAATGTATTTTTGTATATTATAGCATTTTTACAACATTATTATCTAACTACATATAATACATATTATGTTGTTATTCACGCGTACACTTGTTGCTTTTTTCTCTTTTTCTGGAAAGATAATTTTTGAATAATACGAAATTAATTAAAAATTATCCGTACACGTAGTTCTTTGTGTAACAGCTATTACTGGATGAATTGGAGCGGCATGTCCAATATTATTTCAACGATGTGATTTGTATTCTTCTTAGAAACATCTGAGAATGTTTGTGGCATTTCTAAAATTGTCAATTATCAAGAATTATTTTTAAAATTTGGTGACTGTATATAATATCCAAATATTAATTTTAAATGTGATATTTCTTTAATAGATACATGATAAGAGTTGTTGCTATTTTATTTTATGCATAGTTATTTTACGCATGATCGCACTCGAGGATCGTATAATCACGATAACTGTGAATTTTTCATAAATTAATTATCATACAAGATAAATATTTTGTATTTCAATGCGTTTCTATTTCGCTTTGCTCATTCAAAATCAATAGCAGCATTAATTTGGATTTATTATTTATGTTTTTTAATAAGATCCATTTATGCTCTATCATCGACAGTGATGTTGACGGCAAGTCGTGGAAGACGTGAAGTATGCTTGTACTTTACTAAGAAATAGCTTGTATCGACCGTGCGCACTAGTGTAACCTTGAATTTTAATTCATGAAGTTGTCAGTCGTCAGTTGGCAAATTATAATTGTGCCATTCCATCAATTAATATCATGGTGTTCTACATTTGCGCAATAGGCAGTATTCAGGCATTTCTATGTCTCATACGTTTCGTATCCTTTTTTTATTTTACATGTTTCTTTTTCTTTTATTGATAATTATTTTTATTTGTTAAACTTCACTAATTTGGTTAAATTTTTTTTTAATTTTATGGAAAATGAAGCAATACAAACATTAAGTAAGAATATTATATTTTTATAAGAAAGTTCTTTGCTCTTTTGGGATGCATCTATTTGTTTACATATTCCAGAATTTCTTTTAAAAATAATATTTTGGATTATATCACGTATCTTTCTTAAAATTTTTAATTGCATTATAAAGCTACATTATATTTAATTAAACATAACGTACATTTTTAACATCAAAACGTGATAATAAAAAAGTTATTTATTTTGTATTTTTTTTTATTTAGTGTGTTTTCGTGATATCATAACAATCTTTGGTTCGGCGTTTAAATAATAAAGTAGAAAAATGAAATTTTTTCATACATATTTTACTGTTTACAACATGCATTAGTTTTTTTCTCACAATATTCTGTTATGTTAAAATGTACAATGTATCATAAATCTAGTTACAATTATATAATTATCAATAACTATTTTTATATCAAAGATGTTGATAATTTTTGTTAAGTCTTTTTTAATTAAATTAGTAAAGATTTAGTTTTGATAGAAATCACGATATTCAAAAATGTGCAAAAGCGACTCAATGGTTCTCGTGCAACTATATTAATGCGACACGTATCATCGCGATTATACCGAGAAGCAGTTCCCCCTCCCATTATTTTCTTCACAGTAAAACCTTCGCGCACATCTCGCATACGTATTAGAACGTTCTACGCAGCAACCGACGAAGCATCTTTGTGTGTTATTCTGTCACGATGGATTCATTATTGCTTCCGTCGCCTTTTGTGCTATTATTGAGTACTCTGATTATTATCGGCGTTCTGAAAATTATCTCTGTACTGCATCACACATATTTTTACTGGAAAAATAAGGGTCTACCTTACCTGCCAAATTCGTTATCATCTTTTATAACGACATGGAAGTTGATATCGGGTTACATAAGTTTTACCGATTATTGCCAGTATTTGTACAATTACTTCCCAGATGCTAAATACGTTGGAATAGTGGAAATGTTCAATCCTACCCTGCTTGTGCGCGATCCCGAACTAATTAAAGACATTGTTGTGAAGGATTTTGAACATTTTCCGGATCATCGCAGCTTCATTGACGAAAGTGTAGAACCATTGTTTTCTAAGAACATTTTCGCCTTGCGTGGAGATCGTTGGAGAGAAATGAGGAATATCTTAAGCCCCTCTTTCACTGCCAGTAAAATGAAGTTTATGTTCGATTTGCTATCAAAGTGTTCTCACGATTTTGTCGACTATTTGGTGGACCATCCGGAACTTTGTCATACGATCGAAACTAAGGAGGTCTTTAGACGATACACTACCGATGTAATTGCTACGTCAGCTTTTGGAATAAGTGTAAATTCTATGAAAGATCAAAACAATGAATTTTATGTAAAGGGAGTGGAGACTATCAAATTTCCTACAGGACTACTAGCAATGATCAAGTTGATGATCTTAATGAAGTATCCGTGGTTTGCTAAATCAATTGGTCTAACTTTTTTTTCGCCGAATACGGCCAAATTTTTCAAAAAAATCATACAAGAAACACTTAGAGCGCGTGAAGAACAAGGTATCGTTAGACCAGACATGATCCATTTGTTAATGCAGTCTCGAGATAAAGAAGACACTGTTCACAAGATGTCATTGAACGACATTGTTTCGCAAGCTTTTATCTTTTTCATTGCGGGTTTTGAAACTTCTGCGACCTTAATGTGTTTAGTTGCTCACGAACTGGCGGTTAATCGAGATGTTCAAGATCGTTTGTACCAGGAGGTACAGCAACATCTTGTCGACGGAAACGGTGAAATTTCTTACGAGTCGCTAATGAAGATGTCTTACATGGACATGGTGACTTCCGAGACTCTTAGAAAATATCCACTAACGGTTTTCCTTGATAGACGTTGTGCAAAGAGATACGAATTACCTCCATCGCAACCAGGCTGCAAGAACGTGATTGTCGAACCTAACGATGGTTTGCTGTTTCCTGCTTATGCTATACAACGCGATCCGAAATATTTTCCGAATCCGGATAAATTCGATCCCGAAAGATTCAGCGAAGAAAACAAAGATAACGTATTCCCATACACTTATCTACCATTCGGTCTTGGGCCCAGAAAGTGTATCGGCAATCGATTTGCTCTTATGGAAACTAAGATCTTAATAGCTCATCTTTTACAAAAGTTTACTTTGAAAACTACGGAAAAAACCGTCGAACCTATTGTATTTACTAAAAAGGAACTTATGTTGAAACCTGTTGACGGATTCTGGGTTGGCTTGGAGAAGAGAGAAACGTAAAAATTTTGCAACAGATATATTATTTTACAATATATAATATGTAATTTGTGCGAAAAAGTATTATCGCATTTTGTACTTTCAAAATATTCTACGCTTTCAAACATAATTAAAATACGCAGTAAAATTGGTTTGCAATTTATTACATTATCATTTAAATCAAATGCAGAAATCGAATGTTATTATCAATGCTAAAAAAAGCAAATTTTTATTGATGTGAAATGAAGAAATTAATAAGTAATTAAGTATTAAGAAATATTAATAAGTATTATAATAATAAACATTGTGTGCTTTGCTTAGATTAGCGAATTTATTCGATCGTACTGGTTATTTTAATGACTTATGAAATTTGTACTGATCGCCTAATAGGTATAATAAAGGTTTAGTAGTATAATGTTTTTAATATTTTATGCAAAATTGAATGTTTTTATAATGCAAACGTTTATTTAACTTTTTTACTTTTAGAAAAATTTATTTTCTTATTAGTGCAGAGTTACAGTTTAGAGTTAGAGTTAGAGTTTAGTAATTTATATATTTCCTTACAATTTGTTGTAAACTTAAGCAATCTAAGTACTAAGGTAGAATACAAATTAAGCATTAAAATTAATTATTTTATATTTTGAAAAAGAACAAATTATATTATACACACAGACACACATTAATTGATGCAATATTATGCGCGTATCACATACGCATTTACATCTTACAATAATTATAATACTCTTAATATGTTTAATATTATAATACCTCTTATATGTTCATAAATGTTCCAAAAAAAATTATTATAATGAAAAGTAACCGTTTAGACAATGTTATTGTATAAGTTATATAAGATTTCAAAAAATAGACTTCATAAAAATGTATATTAAACATACTCTCTAATTTTTCTAGAGTGAATCTCACTTCAAAAGATTGAAAATTCACTCCAAAAAATTTAGAGAGTAAATAGAAAACTTTCTTTTTAGCAATAATATTGTATATTTTTGTTAAAAATATTTTGTTTAGAATTATTATATATTTTAAATGTGTTTTTTATATTAAAATATTCATACGATAATTTTTATAATTTTATCTAACTGTATTGTGTTGCAATTCACGCATGCATTTGTTGCTTTTTTCTTTTTTTTTCAAAGAGGTAATTTTTAAATAGTACGAAATTATTCAAACATTATCCGTACACGTAACTCTTTGCATAATCGCGATTAGAGGATGAATTGGAGCGGCTAATTGCGTGATCCAATGTTATTTCAACGATGATTTGTTTTCCTTTTAGAAGCTTCCTAACATAATATTTGAATGTTGCATTTCTAAATTTTTCAATTACCGAGAGCTATTTTTAAAATATGTTAGCTGGCTATGACATCCAATCATTAATTTTAAATATGATATTGCTTTAAGAGATACGTGATAAGAGTCGTTATTGTAGTTATTTTACAAATGAATGCACTCGGAGATCGTACAAACACGTTATCTGTGAATTTTTAAAATTTATCATTCAAGATAAAGATTTTCGGTGCGTTTTTAATTCGCTTTATTTGCTCACTCAAAATCAACGTGAGGATTAATTGGGATTCATTGCTTATCTCGGCCATGCCCACTAGTGTTACCTTGAATTACAATTCATGTAGCTGTCAGTCAGCAGTAGGCAAATTCTAATTGTGCCATGCCCTCAATTAAGATCGTGTTGTTTTACGTTCGCGCGATTGTTCGTGGGTAACGTTCGGGCATTTCTATGCCTCATATCTCTCACATTCATATTTTCTTTCATATTTTCTTTCTATATTTCACATGTTTCTCTTTCTTGTAATAGCGATGTAAGCGATGTGCTATTTTAGGCACCTGTGACGTAAGTGAGAGTTTCGCATTTTCATCCTTAGATTGCCTGACCACCGATCCATATATTATCAATACGTATTGCAAAGTGCTGTTGCACATATAACTCGTGTGAAATTCATTATTTCTTACATTTTCTTATTTTTAACAATTTTTATTTTTACTTTTATGTACTTGTGAATAAACATTTCTTATGCTTGTGATAAACAATATGTTGTATATGTGCACGTGCATTTTAGTAGCAAAACAAGTCGGTAACAATCGATTAGAAGTAATATCATCGTAATCTGTGAGTAATACGCAGATGAAGATCAAAGATCAAGTTCCATCAGTCACATCAATAACTTATTGTTAGTACATTTATTTAGTTAGCATACCTTGTGCGTTTACATTATTCCAAAGAAACACAAAGAAGTCTTGAACAAATTTTGTCATGGAGATAATATATGAGCCAAATTTTTTTGATTCTTTAAAATTGACTTTTTGTAAACAAAAAGAATGCAAAAATTATTTTATAAAATTAAATCAATAAAGATTGACTTTTCATAGAAGCCACAATATTTAGAAATATCTAAAAGATCGGAAGAGCACACGT